TACATCTTGACTGTGTCATTTAACAGTGACCAGGGAATGTAGGACTAGGCTTGGTTTGTGTTCGTGTTGTAGGTGAACTTGTTTAAATTAATACCATGGCCCTCTGTTCCCTGCTTTGTTAAATGTAGCTAGTGGAGATGTACAGTGCTGGCCAGGATCTAGCAAGGAGCTAGCTTTGCTGCCTCCAAGAGTTCCTTCGTCTGCTAATGGAGATAATAATAGTTCTTATTTCATAGGGTTCCGGGGGGCTAAAAGAGTTAATATGTATGAAGAATTTAGGATGGTGGCTGGCATGTAATTACAATGCAAGTGTTAGCTATTATTGTCATGACTTCACAGGGTTGTTGTGGGGATCAAATGATATAATGTGATCAAAATATCATTCTCGGTTCATCTGCCCATCCATTCATTTATCCATTCACTACATTGAGTAACACGTTGGGCATGGGAGATGCCACTGGGAAACATTGGCATTCACTTCCTAGCTTCTAGCAATTAATCAAATTAGTTATTTCCTGGAGTGTGTTATCGCCTGGCTCAGTGTTGAGGGTGGAGGGAACGAACAGTGCAGTGGCCAGAGTAGAAGCAATGCTTGGTCTGGGGAGTCCGCCGTTCTAATAAAGAAATCTGAGAACATGGCAGGCTATGCATGAGCCAAGCCCGGTGAGTTACTTATGTGGGTCCTAGGTCGGGGCATGCCTTAGGCCATGCTCCTAAAGGCTCCAGAGCACTGTAGACATGGGAGCGGCTGGTTCTTCAGAGGCCGGGCTGTTCTTTCTGGGTATTTTATTTGACTCTGCTGTGTAGAGTCCCCTGAGTCATGCAGAAAACAGAGCAGAACAGAGTAATAAGGAGGCGCAGTTTTCCCTGGCCCTGGGAGGTATTAAGTGGCGAGTGTCAGAGGCCTTGCTTTCCTGCCTGTTTTGTTTCTGTTTTGTCAGATTATGAAAATTCACCCTGGCCATTTTGATAAAGCATACTTCTGACACCCATCTGATCTGTCGGTTTGAATTCAGCCCCTCCAATGACTGCTGCTTTGCCCACCCATTATTAGGATTATAGCCATGTTAGGGCTAAATGTAAATGAATACCTACAGGCAGAATGCAAAGTGCCCTCGTGAGCTCCCTCCCAGTGGTGTGAGATTAAAATGCTCTTTACGGCTGGAATCTGGAAAAGGAAGCCAGTCTGAGCACCAATACCTGCTAGTGGTGGAGCCCTTCGAAGTGGGTAGGGCAGGTGTGCGTGCCCCTTGTGATGCTGGCTTCCTTGGAGACGCCTGACTGCAAGTGTCCTTTAAAACAGTCACAGATGTCAGCAAGTGGTGGGCGAGGCTTCCTCTCCCTGGTGTTGTGGGAACAGACTCTATTTAATGTCACTTGATGTCCTTCTCCTCAAAAATAGTGCCTGGGGGCTATGGGGGCTTTATTCAAAGGCTTTAAGGAGCTTGGCAGTATGTAAATTATGCCTGAATGTCCTTCTGGTTCCTGTGGCCACTGTCAGGGACTTAAAAATGATGGAGCATCTTGGATGATTTGTGGGAGCATTGCAGCGGCAGGGAGCGCCCCCACGCGCCCCCCCCCCACTGCTTCTCTCTTTGCATAACATAGGCTTTCAGGTCACAGTGGCTCTGTCCATCCAGACAGCTGACCTGGTCTAGGAGTGGCCTCCAGTGTTGGTGGGCAGCTCTCTAAATATCTTTGCTTCAGGGAATGTTGGAATTTTCCCAAAGCAAAGGTTTTTTAAGTTTAGAAAATACAGTTCAGTTTCCAGTGGCTCCTTACCTGCTCACCCAGTCATCCCTTCACTCACACATTCATCCAACCATAATATGGGCAGAACGTCTTTACATGCAGGTGATGATTTTAGGCATGAAAGATATAATGGTAACCAGGACAGACAGGTCCCTGCCCTTCTGGAGCCTGAATTCTGAAGAAAGGGATAGACAAAGGAACAGACTTAATAACTTCAGAGAATGGTAAGCACTTTAGAGAGTAACGCCAGTCAGCTGCCTGTCACAAGCTGCACAGCCTGAGTTCAGTCCCCAGAACCCACATAAAGATGGAAAGAGAGAACCAACTCCAGAGTTGTTCTCTAACAAACACACACACACACACACACACAAACACACACACACACACACCCCACAGTATACATGTGATAATAAACAATAATAATAATAATAATTGAAAGTTCATAAATATCCTTCAACAATTTTTGGAACTATAAACTATTAGATATAGTTTATGAAAGATTTAAAGGGGAGGAGAAATTGTCCGTGTCCTGTTTAAGCACTTGAACCTTAAAAGTTCTCTGGGGTTTAGTCATATGGGGACAGTACTACTAGGGTAGATATGGGATTGAGTTGACATTGAGTCACCTATATTGATCCTAGGGAGAACATAAAGTTTCCCTTGTGTTTCTGGGGACTAATGATACTTCCTACTAGTCTGCCTGGAAACAAAAGACCCCTGAAGATCTGGAATTCACCTAGTATGAGAGATTTCTTCCCTGGGGAGAAAGAAGGGTACAGCTTCCCAAGACATGTGTATCCAGAGGGAGCTCACATCTGCAGCTGGACCCACTCAGAGCTGTAACCTGGCTCACTGACCACCTGCCTGTGTTGGTGTGCAGTAGCCCAGCAGTGGTGAAGAGTCATCTCTGGTGGAAGAACAGTACGTTTCTTTTTCTCCCTCAATCCATCATAGACTGCTACTTATACAAAACATAATAATAATAAATATATATATATTGCTATAAAAATGGAATAGAAAAGAGTCACACAAAATATAATCCCAAGTTATCTTATCTGCCTTTCACCAGAACCTGTTACACAGTCATGGACTCTGGTAGTCTCTGAGGCGCACCCGTGGAGCAGAGCGACAGGGGTGGCAGTGGGGATCTTCCTGCGCACATACTCTGATTTCTCTATAGAAGAACACTGTGAGATACTTCCTTGTAGGACTCTTAGTTCCAGCCACAGAGTCAAATTTAAACAGAGAACCTTCTAGTGGAATTGGGGAACACATGGGGAATCAGGTTCGTCTGTCCAGAGTCAGTCCCCAGAATAACTCCTGAAGCTGTTGTCATCATTGCTGCTGGAAGCAGTCCCACTCTGGCTCTGACAGAGCCAAGCAGCATAGCCCAGGATGGTCTCAGCAGAGCCCATTCATTATAGGGCCTGGCTCCTGAGTCAGTCCTTGGTGAGGAGCGTTTGGTGGTTGGTCATAGCTGCAAGGGAAGCTGGGGACATGGCTGCATCCCATTTTCAGCTTCTGTTGTGGGAGGCAGCTAAGGTGTAGACAGTTCCCCGACCTGGATGAAGCAGAAGATCAGGCATCTGTGTGGGCTCTGTCAGCCCCATGCCCCATCAGAGCATTTCAGAGCCCTCTGAGCATAGCCAAGAGCCTCCCTTAGAAGGCAAGCTTACAGCCAGGCCTGGGGCAGCACTCCCTCTTGAGCTCATCCCCTCTGCCTTTTGTTGGGTTGTGCCTTTAACACATTCCTCAGCTCCACCTTCTGGGTTGAGTGTCCAGTGGTACTCCTCAGGGGCTCACAACCTTCAGAAAATTAGTGGGCTATCCTCAGGAAAAAGGAAATGGGAAGGTAGCTGCCAGTCACTGCACATTTGTCAGGATCCAGGTGGGTGTGGCCCCAGGTTAGCTCACTGCATCCTTAGAGCTTTATGAAATATTTTTGCGGTTTCTAGTTCACACATGGGAATAGAGGCATGTTGGCCATTTCTGTGGCATCTCAGAGCTCTGGAGTTGCTTGCTTCCCAAAACTAGCTTTGTATCCTGTTTGCCAGAAAACAATGCTAAATCAGACACAGTGACACATGCCCTGCGGTTAGGAAGCTGAAGCAGGAGACTGATAGCTTAGGCCAGCCTGGGCTGCATAGTGATACCTTGTCTCAACTCCCAAGGTCCTCAAACAAAAACAAAACAATAGTCATAACCTTAAAATTAAGTGAAGCTAAATGCCAGCCAAAAAAATGTTAAGGCCCTCAGGTAAGGACTGATTTGGGGTGAGGCTTTGGGGCTCACAGCATGGGAATGTGCTAGGTTTTTTTCCATTGAGGGTGGAGACTTACTAGGATCAGGGCCTATGGCCTCTTTGTGGTTTTTATGTGTGGTCTGTAAATGCCTCAGATTTAGACCTGATGAAAACAGTGTAGAGCTTAGAGTAAAGCTAACACCACCCCAGTGAATTAAACTGTCTTTGAACGTCTGATTTCTGACGAGTTGATAGCTGATGCCAGCTGTCATTCTGTGGGACCCCAGCCCCCATCCTGCCTTCCAATAGTTAAGACAAGCAGAAGGTTCTGGTTCTACTTTACAGCGTAAAGTATGGTACATGCTGAAGAAAGGGAAAAGGGAGGCTGACTTAAATCCCTATTCTGTTATCACAGCAGGATTTAGTCGAGTGTTTTCACCTGGCAGAGCATCACTGTGGTCCTGTTTTAACTGAAGGACTTCATCTGTGCAGTCACCTGACTGGAGGGTATGAGGCCACCAGGCTGTCACCCTCTCTTTTGGGGCAGGCCATCAGTATTAATGAGTCTACAGGAGGGGTGTGGCTGTCTGTCTGTGCACTCAGCCTACAGTTTACATTTGGAATATCCTCAAAGGCCTATGTGTTAAAGGCTTGGTCTCTAAATGGAGCTACTGGGGGGCGGGGGGCTTTACGGAGTGGCACCTACAGGAAAGAGTGCAAGCCACTGGGGGTGTGCCCTTGAAAGGATAATGGGTTCCAAGCCAGTTCTGAGTTTTTTCTTTCTGGCCTATAGGTGAGCAGTTTGCTCTACACAGGCCCCCACTATGCGGTGCTGCCTCCCCAAGGAACGACCAGCAACATAGCCAAGAAGCTGAATACTGACATCTTTAAAACCAGGAGCCAAATAACCCTTTTCTTTTATAAGATGATCATCTCAGGTATTAGGTGCTGAGAAATATGCACTGCCAAGTGCTGATGGATGCTGCGAATTCTGTCATTACAGAGCAGAACACACTCTTCAGTGTCCTCTAGGATAACCCAGGGATCTCCTTAGGCTGAAGACTGTGAATTAGAAGATCAAAGGTGAGGCCCAAGATTCCAAATTTCCAATGAGCTCTAAGGTGAGGGCAGCAGATCATGGACCGTTCTTTGTAAAATGGTATTTACACAAAACCAGCAGGCGTGCTCTACATGAAAGGCTTGAGTGAGGTAAGAGAGCAGTCCCCTTAGCTGCTGACCATCTAGTGGGGGTATGACCTAGTTCTCCACCTCATCCCGTATGAACTGGCCTTAGGGACAAAGCACACCCTCTTTTCTCCTCAAGGGTAGACTGGCCATGGTCTCTTATGTTTTCTATATTTGGTAAACATGATGGGTCTGGTGGCCTCTTGCTATGAGTCACTGGCCTATGACACCCAGTGTCAGTAACCACTGACACTCACTAGAGTGGTGTATGGAGTACCTGGCATTTGCTGGGCATGCGTTAGGCCCTCCAGGCGACTGCTCTGATGATGTCACTCATGAAGTTCTCTGGCATCCCCTAGAGTTCTCTCAGCAGCTACTGACTTTGGACTTTAATTGTGTAGGCTCTGGGGTGTTTAGATTCTAACACACCAACTGTTTTAGTCAGTTTTTCCTTGCTGTGACAAAATACCTGAGCACAACAACCTAAAGGAGGAGGGATTGCTTTTGGTCCATCATGGTAGGGAGAAGACGTGGCAGAGATGATCAGGTCACAGGAGAGAGAGAGAGAGAGAGAGAGAGAGAGAGAGAGAGAGAGAGAGAGAGAGAGAGAGAGAGAGAAAGGGAAGAGAGAAAGAGACAAGCGTATCTGCGGGAGAGGAGCGCACCAGCGTAGAAGATCGAGA